GCCGCCCGCTCCCCCCGCGCCCCCGCCGCAGCACGCGCAGCACTCTCGGGTCACGCCTGAGGATTTGCAGGCGCTACTGCCGCCCCCCACTGCTTCCATGGATCAAAAGACGCAGTCTAGCTTCCAGGTGAGACCTCATTTCCACTTATATAGTATGTTAACTGGATAATGTGTTCATGAAATCGTTACACGTAAAGTAAGTGTATAGTAAGTTATCTATCTTTTACTGATAAATTGACTCATCATGTTGTTTGTGCACATTCCAGGAGTTCCAGAGGTATCAACAGCAATACATAGCGCGGCAGCGCGCAGCGTCCCGCGCGACCTCGCAGCCCGATTGGAACGAGCCCTACCGGGACTCACTGGCGCTGTTGGAACTCCCGGACAGCGACCTGGAACACCTCATCGGGCCGACGCTGGGTGACGACCTCAACCTGGACGAGAGCGCATTCTCCGCCATCTCCGAGCTTGACGCCAGCGCCAAGCTCGACATGTTGTTGTCCGGGAACAACGCGCACAACAACACGCCCGACTCCGTGCTCCAGGACATCACGGGCGACCAGTACCCGAGCTCCTATACGGAGCCGCAACGCCACGACGTGCCTTCTAAGTCGGACTCCTTTGATGGAGCCGACACCTTCATGCCGCCGCCTCCCGTGCCGCACCACCCTAATAAGTTCAGAAGACAAGAGTCTGAGAATGAGCATCAGTCGGCGCCGAGCACGCCGTCGCCGGGGCAGCACGTGCAGTCCCCAGTGCACCAGCCGCAGCCCGCGCCGCCGCCGCAGGCGCTGCCCGCGGCCGCGCTCGCCCCGCCCTCCATGCACGCGCCCAACGCGACACACTCGCAGACCACCGCGCAACACACACACAATGCTCTCCACCACAACATGCTCAACGCGGTGCATTCCCCGCACGGCGCGCACGCGATGGCCCAGAGCCCGCTGGGAGCGCTCGGCCTGCAGGGCGCGCACGGCCTGCAGGGCGCGCACGGCCCGCAGGGCGCGCACGCGCACAACTCCGCGCAGCACGCGCCGGCGCCGCCTCACCTGCAGAATGCGACGGCCGCGTTCAAGTCTCCGCCCTCCAGCGCCAGCCAGGCCATGCCTCCCCCTCTGAAGCTGCCTGTCAGGGCGACCACGTCGGTAGCGACCGCCACTGTTGGCTCGCAAGCCTCGGCGCAGGAGATCGAGGAGCAGAGCAAACAGTATCTCATCAAAACCCTCATGAGGGACGATGATGTACCGCCGCCGCCGAAAGAACAGGAAAAGAAAGTCGAAGAGGTGACGGTCGCCAACTGCGAAGTAAAGGAAGCAGTAGAAGCCGCACCCGAAATGTTCGGTATCGCGAAGTCGTCGACTACAGACGACGACCTGCGGAGACCTGACGATGACCTCAGAATGAGAAATAAGCTGGTCAAGAAAGATCGAGACGACAAACTCGCACAGAAAGGCGGAAAGCCCCGAACTGTTGGCGCTAAAGAGAAACCCGCCACGCTCAAAGACAAGATCGTCAGAGACAACAAATCCACCAAAGCTGCCTTATCACGCCCTTCGCCCCTAAAGCTCCCTGCAAACGCGATAGACGCACCCAAGTCCCCACAAACTGAGAAAGAATCTATCAAACTCAGGCTAAAACTCGACAAGAATGAACCAGCAGTCCAAACAGTATACAAAGCAGACATCAGCTTTGTCAACCAACAAAAAGGCGACAAGCCAATCGACGGAGAACTAAGGGTCCCGCCTCTCCATATAAGCCTTCGAGGGCGGAATTCCGCCGTGATAAAAAACTCGAAAAAGGAAAAGAAAAAGTTTGGCCCTGGTGACTTGCATACAAAGAAGATTAAAATCAGGAAATCTTCTGAATCAGATGACAAGTCACATAGGAGGGACTCCGAGGAGTCTATAGCCTCAAAATCTAGTGAAAGCACTGAGAACAAGACTGATGAAGAGTATTTAAATGCGAAAGGCATGAAGCTCAACAATCACTACGAGGGCGACGCCGTGAAGACAGAGATCACGGGCGACAACAACGTCGTGTACAGAATGAAAACTATCTCTAAGAACGCTCACATCGTGACCAAGTCACACGACTATAACAAACTGAACAACAAGGTGCAGAGCTTAGACCTGAAAATGAAGAAGAAACTAAAAATACTCAATGAGAGTGGGAAGTCTTCAGACAAGGAGCGGGACAAGGAATGGAGGAATGACACGCTGGACAAAGAAGGGAAGTACGCGCAAAACGAGGGCTACAGAGAGCCGAACAATCACGACGCCAAGAAGAAGTTACCTACTCCTAAAACAGAAGTGAAATGTGATAGTGTCAAGTCAGAGGGGAAAACAGTGCAATCAGACGTGGATAGTGAAAGTAAAACCGGTGCTAGTGAGTTGGACAGTAGTAGGTTGATCAAGTGTCATAAGGACCTCGAGTGGACGCTTAGTGGCGACGTGTCCGACTCACAACACTTCGTGGAGTCGCGGCGCGTTGCCGAAGATGACAATAAGTTGAAACGGACAATCGCCGAAAGTGCTATTACCTCACCCAATGGTCTGCTCACCTCTGATAAGAAGAGGAAGGTCAGCCACAGTTCCTGTACAGGTCAGTCAAATGTTTCAACTATGTTAAAGAATATTATGTGAGATGTAAAGAAACGAACACAGAACATAGTAGAGGTATCTCATTAAGTGCTGTTTATGAGGTACTCATTGTTCTGTCGCAAAAGTCGTTTGAATCACGATACCGCCGCCTAATTACTTGAAACTCGTTGGACTAACTCGAAAGTGTAAATGTGAGTACCTAAAACATTTCTGTATGCTTCAAATAACTCTGTCACTCTTACAGTGGGTCACAAATATAGAGTATATATCACCAGACTATATCTTTGAGAATAAGAATCCCTAACTAAAGAATTACAGAGTTATTTTACGACAGTGTATTGTGTGCATGAATTGTGAACTAAACAGAAGATCATACCATTAAGGTAATCAAACGATATGATACTAAACAAAACCGCAGGCGGATTAATTAACTCTATTTAGTATAAGTTACATTATTAACTTATTAGATGAACAAGCATTATGTAATATTGCATGTAGTTATAGTTAGTTGTCAGGCCTTATACCAAACAAAAACAATTTAAGGATAAAAGCTGATTTAACTTTATATTCATTGTATTTCTTTAACCAATAATTGATTATCCCCTTTTTTGCTATGAAAAGATATTAAATTTTAATGTAATCGTAGTTTCCAATTTTGTCTATTCTCTTTATTGTAGTTTGAGTATTAACGTAGTGCTTTATTACAGAACCTCCGGGCTCGACAAACGTCGGCACGATACCTACGAGCCGCGCCGAGTCTCCGCCCACGTCACCGCGCCGCAAGGACCGGCCCAAGGACAAGTCCTACTGCAAACTGGTGGCCGAGCGTGCCGCCAGACCTGATGCAGACAAGTTTGGCAGCCGCTCCCCCGCCAGCCAAGCGCAGGGAGAGGACTCCGGCATCGAGTCCATGGACGCTCTGTCAGAGAAGTCCCCCAATCAGGCCAGCCAGTCCCCGCCCGGGCCGCAGCGCAAGGAACGCCTCGACATGCCACGCTCCACCAGCCCCGCCTCCGTGCAGCGCATCATCGGAGTCATCGAGCAGGCGCCCGCCTCCGACGAACTCCTCGAGCGACTGTCGCTCGCCGCAGGACCGCCGCGGTACGAGCCCGGCCCGCCAGACATCGACGACCTCGGCGACATTGAGGCAGAGCTCGCCAAGATGCACGCCGACCACGTCAACGGGGACGACGCCCCGCGCCGGCCCCCTCC